CCAGACCCTACACCAAACTCAGACCTTACACCACACTCAGACCCAACACCACACTCAGACCCTACAACACACTCAGACCCTACACCACACTCAGACCCAATACCACACCACAAACCCAACACCTCACTCAGACCCAACACCACGATCAGACCCAACACCACACTCAGACCCAACACCACACCACTGTTCGAGTGCAACAACAGACAGACCGAGGCACGACACAGCACACCAGACGAGAGCGTGCGATGCAACATATGAAACACTGCGGCTTTAAGTCCGTGGTTTGACCCTGAAGGCAAGTGCAGAGTGTTGATTTGATACGCACACAGGTTTGAGCACACATTCGAACACGACGATATTTAGGGATGCAGAACGCTATTAATTGTGTACACTACAATATGCAAGCATGTCTACTCACCCGTGCTAGTTCCTCTGCAGACTCTTCTAAGTCCCTTGTTAACGGCAATCTCTCGGGCCATGAGCAGATCACCTTGGAAGCTGCGTAAACGATCGAGCATGGCACTACAATTTTCAAGCGCGGTGTTACTGTTGGACAGAACGTACTCTCTCAAAGTACGTTTATTCGAAGGTTTACGTATATTATTGTCGCTTTCCGATATGTGCGACCACTTGAACTTGTCCTCGTTCTGCCAGGCTTGCATAGCCACCGCGACCGCCTATTACGTAATCAATCGACAGCAGTTAGGCTAAATCACCTGAAACGTTTACGTTTATGCGAACTAAGAGCTGATGACGGAAACTAGCACGTATTAGGCCGCATCAACATCAAATGCTCTTGGCAAATATCCGCACACAGACACATATACTAGTTCGCGATGGGACAAGACTATGCTCAATAGAGCGCAGACCCAAGTGGACAACTTTCCTGTATGTGATTTGATTGTGTTGCGACGAAATCGGATTGACAATAAATGTAGTGCCTGGAGGTGCATTCTACGCCTGGCGTATCAGTAGTTTTCGTGCGCTTAACACGTACGCAGGTGTGCGTGCACATGGGTACACACACGCATAAAACCCTAAAACGTACACACATACTTGACTCAGCTGCACTTTTCCCGGGCGCCAAAGCCTTGCCGAAGCCTGGGCCACCCAGGCAGCAGCTAATAGGCTTAGCAGTGACTGGTGATCTGGTGTGTAGGAATCCTCCAACACACACACAGCCACACGCTTCAGTGCAGACTCGGCTCCAGTGACGTACCGTTGGATGTCTGGCACAAAAGCCCCCGCGTGCAGAAAGAGAAGCATGACGGTCGTGCGTAGGACGAGCCCTGTAGTGAGAATGTACGTGGTGGGCGATGTGAGGGCGCGGGTGAAGGTGTATACGAGTGGCATGACATGGGGTGTCAAAGTACGTACTGATGAGCGCTTACAAACAGTATAGTTGATTGTATACGGCATCGGATCCACATGCGAACGAAGATCGAGATAGGTGGACGGGCCAGGTCCCGAATGTTCGCATTTGCTTTTGTTCGAGCTGTTCCAGCATTCCAATCATCATCTTAAATGTTTGTCATCCTTGCCATGATCTTTCCCCACCCGTTGGTGCATGCTGACAATGCTTCACTGTCCAAGCCATTGCGGCCTGCATTAATAGGAGACTCAGTAACTCTTTCAACCGAATTATAACTCCGCCAGGCGACTGTATAGTAAGAACATGTAACGGCTTGTTGTCCTTCAACATAGCCGTGAGACGCGACACTATGTGTTGTACTTAAGAAACCAGCACGCTTAATAATCGCATGGTCTTCATGGGTGGTACTACACATCCAGCTAATCCGAACAATATGTATACATATCTTGCACTCCTGTTTGACGATAAGCAGTAGAATCATTAGACTAATAACCCCACACATCACATTTCACTGTATGCGCCAAGCTAATCATGCACCTACAGAGCTATCGTACGCATCGATGATTCCGCAACCCATGCAGCAGCACAGCTACCCGACCCAACTGAAGATACGCCACCGACCGCATCAGCCCATCAGAGCCAACACCGCACTCAATGGGCTATTTCAAACTCAAACGCCCAAACTACGCCACTAACTTTAATATAGCCAACGGTATAAGACAATAGTCAACTAGTGTATAATATCCCACAGCTCACGTATGTCAGCCCATTTTGGAGACCAGAATGCGTCAGAATGTCACGGTAATTAGCAAAACTCATCAACTGAGGACCCGCTGCTTTCGAACAAACTATGCGGCGTTACACGGTACGAAACGAGCAAAGGATAAGACGTCTGTACTCTAACAGATGTATAGATGATAGGCACACAATCGATAGATACCCATTACAGCCATATGAAAAGATATCCTACCACACACCACACACCTGAGTCTAACCGTTGGCCATCCAATAGCTCTACTTGGCTCGGGCGCGCACGAATGATTTTCTGCAGCAGACTCTTGTATCCCGCCGCAGTGAAACCGCGCAAACTTGGTTTTATCCGCAGAAAGTCCTCTTCAGTCACATCCGCCGCCTCTAAGGCTTCTGATTGGCTGAGTGGCAGGTTGCGTTTGCTGACAATGAAGCCGACTGTAGATAAATAGTGTGTTCATGCGGGTCAACTAACGTGCCCATGGGGGTGAGCACGTGTGGTCGAATCTGGTGTTGCATAGCAGTAGACTCGGTTATGGCTGGGTGCACCTCGTTTGATACACAGCTGCCCCGCACAGTACGTCAGATGGGCAAAGCGTTAAGTTGCGTCTAACGGTAGCGAGGCCAGCGTTGACGAGACAGGGATCGTGTAGGCTATTGATTGCAGAATCATGCAGTCCGGGTTTGATCTGTTATGCTGTGCTAAGGGTATACGTGTCATAGTGCTTCTGGTTGGACTGATATCAGGGTGCAGCTTGTGTCACTGAAATTGGTAGGGTGTTGGTTTATCGGGGAGTGTCCGTCCCAATTACAACATTCAGCATGTAGATCCGGTTATTTTCATACCCAAACATTACAACTATTGGGTGAAATAGAGCCTGATCTGACCTGCGGCGGCGCGATTCCGAGAGAAAAACAGTCATCTCGGGGCATGCGGTGGTACACAGTCCACAGCTGCGTGTGTCCAACCTCTGCCTAGTAGAAGTGGCTGCCGTCTGGTACAGTCCGGTCTCATGCACCCATGCCCCTGTGTACAGGAGCCGAAATTGCCCCCAAATATGATGGTGGTTGTTTGCGTACCTGTCTGTTGTGTTGTAGCGTCGGGAATGGGGTCGTCGCTGTTGTCCCCCGCAGCGCTCTCACTGCCCGACATCTGTGCAGGAAAGTGGTAGTGATAGTCTTGGTCAGACACGTGGGGCTTAGATATAGAATCAGCAGGCGCCACAATACGCCAGCTGTCTATTGACATTGATCTGAGTGGACAAACTTTGACTATTGATCAAAGTGAAATCAAACGAATCGACGGACTTTGGTATACTTCACCAGCAGGAGGACACGTAGGCACGTGCTCAGCGCATCAATCGGATGGACCACATACAGACGATCCGTTCACAGATGTCCCACATCCTACAAGCTATTCTATATTTGGGGGGGAGGAATCCCTATAAACCCTAAACCCTAAAACCTAACTCAAAGAGATAGCAATTAGGCATCTAGGTACGTTGCTACCTTATGGACGCCACGTATGCACACCCTTGCAGTTACAAGGAATAGGGACTCACAGCACGGGCTAAGAAATGCCACGCATGCACATCCCTCATCTATCTTCAACTGAAGGTATGGCGGCTTTGTAGCATGTCTTGTGTGTGGACATTTCTTGGCGATAACCGTCCTAATCTAAACAGTCCCATTCCACCACACGTGTTTGCACATCCGTGTCAGACCCTGTGATGTTTGTGTACTCTGATTCATCTCATGCCGCATTGTATACCCTGCCCGGATCGCGAGACAAATCCGTAGAGCTTCAAGCCCACTACTCGGTGCTAGTATAGAGTGAAATACCCTACCGAAACTCACACACATACCTCTGCGGCCGCTTCGTCGGCAGACTTCTTCTGGCCCTTCTTCTTCTTCGACGCTTTTGTAGTTGGTTTAATATCTGCTTTGAATCGTTTGTTGGCTGTCGGATGTGTCGCCCCTTCATCCCTCTCAAACCCCGAGAACAGCAGAATCGTGTCACCGCTAGCATCCTTGATTTGAGGGGATTGACCCGGGCCATTCTGTGTGGCTTTCATCACGTCTTCGCATACGTTCATATCTGGTGTCCGAATTCCAAGCCGTCGGCCCTCTGCCCCATTTTGGGTCACAGAGTGCGATTGTGAGTCGGAATTTGATGTCGTGCTCATATGTTCAACCCTGTTTTTGGCACTCCGTTTTGGGTCAGATTTCTGCATTGGACTGATCTGCGCACCCTGTAACACCCTCCCGTCTGTCACCGATACACAGACACCAGAAAAGGCCTCCACCTCGATATGTGTGGACTCGACTTTCCAGTACTGTCGCAGAAAGACTGAAAAGCGAAAAAAATCTCGAATGAACTTTAGTGAGTGATGAGAACTGTGTAAAACAGGTTCGTTAGATCGTAACGAATGTGTTGTTCACTCGCCAAAGATTTCTTTCAGTTGTCTGTATGGACGGAGAGGACAGAAATACAAAAAACCAGTTAATTAGGATAACAACGCAGCCCCAACGACACTCACCACAACTCCGAAGAAAGCAGGCCACAAAACTACATACAATGCCTATTTAACACGAGACGACAGATTACAGGATGGAATACAGGACGAGATGATATTTTGACCGTGTGTAGCTATATACACATGCGCATGAAAACTAATTCACACACGCAATATGACACAGTCTGAGCGCCTCAGATCCAAAGGACAACTGAACAACACCAATGCGAGACAAAAAATCCAAAAAAAAAATCCCTCCCGTATTGACATTCAGAGAGTATATGCACGATCCTAGGATGCACGATCCTAGGGCGGATGCGTACCTGATGTTAATGAATACGTATGTTTTTTAACATATAATTTCATATGTTAATTATAGCTTATAATTCTCATGCAATTGCCATCCTTGCACGTACCTAATGTTGGCCGTCCTCTTAACCCTTTACTGCCCGGTTTGTTCTGGAACATCCCAAGTACTTCCACAGGTGAGATGCCCTCGCCGCTTTCAGACTTTGTTAGCACCAACTCCATCTGCGGCTCCGAGCGCTGCATGCATGATCAGGATAGAATGGTTACTTAACACAAAGACAATACCCAAATCCATCCACATTCACTTGCAAAAAAGAAACGCATAGGAATTTTGATACATATATTTACATGCATGTATAAATCCGCTACACACAGTCATCCCTATACAACCCGCATTTCAGTAATGGACGACGTACTTGTGAATTGAAAATCGCATCTATCGAAATATCAAATACAAAGCTGCTTACCGTTAAAAATGCGCTGGACCCACTCCCAAGCGATGAGAAATCCAAAGTAAGGCTGTGCGAAGGTGTGCAGGGTCAGCCGCGTGATTCAGTGGACACGTATGAGCACCCGCAGTTTGAACGTAGTAAGTCCCACATATGCTGATCCCTTATGCGATGGTTGTAAGCTTGTGCAACTGCATCCGCGCCAGGACTATGCCCATCTGCCCAACGAGAGCGACAATTGAAAAAAGACAACGGTGTGTTGCACCTAAATCCGTGACCCCGAATCCTAAACCAGGTGTTTCGTCACGTTGAGATACCATACAACGCAAACCCAAGCCCACAACAACCCTACAATCCGACCTCACGTACCCCGGAACATCGGCAAGATCGTAGTCCTCGGTGATCGCGTGCTGCACCAACCAGTCACTTCGCTCGTCCAATGACAGCGGGTGGAAGAAGGCCACTTGGCCCAATTTCTTCAGAAACAAAGCCCACGCGCTCGCAGAGTGATGGATCGTCAGCAGACGACGGGCACTGGGGCGGATGAGTGTGTTCACACGTACTACTGCGTCTCTGGATGTGTACGAGAAAGTCGAAAGCAGCGCAGGCTGAAGCATTTGATATTACCGTGTAACTACCTCTGATACGCATAGGTCCTCGGGGTAAAGTTCTAAGATCATCCTGCTTGAAATGACAGATGCAGCCAAAATTCCCAATCAAAGGCTTCAAATAAACTATTCGAGGCACAAACCTGGTTTTGTCTCTGATTCCTCGCAATATTTCACCCGGGCGTGCACCGGTTGCTATAACTGTGAACAGTTTTTGGTCTCGCTCGTATTTCTCCTTCCCCATTTCGATCTGGAAGGGATGGGAACCGAATTTGAGACCCACCTCAGAACGATCGTTTGAAGCGTACGTGTACGTGATTTCTAGTGGAACGACAGAGAATTGGACAAGCATCAGAACATCCGCTTCTTCAGACGTGTCGACTTAAAAACAGTGCTACCTCCATACTCATCCCTGTGTAGACGCACTACTAAGACTGTGGTGTGCGTATGGGCACAGTCACCATTTACATATGGCACACCGACTTCAAACATATATAGCACACATAGACTTGCACGTGTATCCATCCCTTATGCTTACCAAAAGGGTAAAGGGGTAAATACACAACTGACACTAAGCCTTGCACGCGTACGTGTGTACGCCTACCTTGACATGGTACAAACGCGCAGTCTCCTCGTCACCCAACTCATCCAGTACTTCTCGCACGTGCGCTGGTGAGTCTGTATCACCATTATCTCGGGCTGGCAGCTTTTTCTGTTGGGTATGGTCAATTGCACATTATAATAGTAGCACCAAAATAGTCTCGATACAATATACGAATACATAGCCAGTTAGAATTTGTATGTTCCAGTGCTAAATCAATATCAACCAAGATGAACAATATAAGAGTGTGTGTTTATGTATCCAACATATATCCTTATATCGCCCTTACCCCTCGCTTTGCTTCCTCTGCTTGTTTCTCTCTCATCAGCTTCCGAACCCTGTCCTTTGCCCTCAAAATCAGGGCCCAATTGTCCTTTTCCGCCCGTCCCTTGGGTGTGGAAGGCCTGCTTGTTTTCAATGGCGATGCATTATTGCTACTTGCCCAGCCAGACTTCTTTCCCACACTATCCGTTACCTCGCTCATTCCCATAGAACTATCCGATGTTTCTGCTCTCCCAGACACAGTCAACACATCCCTCTTTTGTCTGACCCTTGCCTTCCCCCTGGCACTTACCCTCCGTCGTTCGACTTCTCCTGGTACTTCATCTGTTCCTCGTTTGGTCTTTGCCCTAACTTTACTTTTTCTGGGCGCTTGTTTTACGTATTCTACTTCTTCCGGGGCTGCTGTCGGTAGCGGCGAGGGTGGAGCGGCCGAGTCAGAAGATGAAACAGATTCATCCGGTGAATTTGAGAACCAACGCATGGCTGGACTGATCAAATACTGAGATGATTCTAAAAGTTGGTGCTGATGCAGAGATATGATCCAACAGTGGAGTCTGTATATATCGCATATTTCTGCAAGAATGCCCCTAGTATACACAATACCTGAAAGCCTGGCACGCAAGCACGTGATGCACCAAGGTAAACGACAGAGCCATAGATACATAACAGGTATTACAGCATGAACCACTATTTGATTCAATGAGACTTATATTTATATCGGCACAAGTATATGTCTGGATTACATAAACCACTTGCTTATTAAGGAAAGTATGAGCTGCAACAATTCTAATCAAATCATCCGTTATATCTCTAGAGATACATCCGCATATATATGAGCTTGACCCTACCTAATATGCATAAAGGTATGCGCTATGTGTATACCACTGTATATGCATTGAACACGAAGGAAAATAAGAGAGGCACCTGACACCATACCGTCCGACGCATCCTGTTCAGCATCTGCAAGGGATATCACAAATTCTGAATCTGAAGACCCTCGTGAGGATTTCAGGTGTGCTTTTCGGCTCTGTGCGGAGGTGAATAAATATGACACGTTGAAAGGAAGTAAACATACGCATTGTGCATTGCTGCACGACCGCAGAATGCGCGGAGCCAGCCTCGACATACAATGACTGGTCGCTCGGCTTCTTGGGAGTATGATTCGATTTGGAACTGTGGCATACAATCTGCGTAACTTAGGTACCTATACACTGTTCGCGGTAAGTAGGCAGAAACAAGAGCGTTTATATATGCACAAAAATACACACACACACACACACACATACACACACACACACACACACACACACACACACACACACACACACA